AGAAAAGGTCATCATCCTACGATGATGTTTCGCGGAATTATCGTCGGTCAAACTTGGCCAATTTTCAACATGGCAATTTTGAATATGGCAAACATGGCTTCACATTTTGAATGATTACAGTGACAAAGCTGCGTCGGACATAAAATCGAGAAACAATGTCCGAAAATACAGATTTCAAGCTTTAATTTAAAGAAAAGATCGTCATCCTACGATGATGTTTCGCGGAATTATCGTCGGTCAAATTTGGTAAATTTTCAACATGACACGCATGGCAATTTGGAATATGGCAAACATGGCATCGCATTTAAATGGTTACAAAGATGAGGGTGCACCAAGCTTAAATTCCTGAGATATCGTCTTAAAGCAGAGATTTCAAGCTTTAATTAAAAGGAAAAATCATTATCCTACGATGATTTCTCGCGGAGTTATCGTCAGCCAAAGTTGGTCAAATTTTTATCCAAGTCCACGCTTTCGCGTGTAGCCGGCATATTTTAAGGTTGTTCACTGTACACAAATAGACGTAACTTTAAAAAACTATCATACAGTCGAATTAAATTATGAAGTACGTCGCTCCATTCGAAATCGATTTTATCGAGATTCAATTACAGAGATATAAATTTAACGATCGTATTTTAGTATTTCAAATTGCAATCCACGAGCAGTCAAGAAAACGACTATTTTTAGTCATCCGACATTTCACGAGCAGTCGAGAAGATTACTATTTTTATCGATCCAGACGGTAACGCGTTAATATTTAATTACCGGTTCCAAAATCGATACGAAGCAGCGGCTCGCACGACTTTTGTCCACGGCACCGCGCGCCGCGGTCCGAAGCTCGTAATTCCCTCGAAAAATTACAAACGCGGCGAACGCTTGTTCGTCTCTGTCTCCGTTTGTTTGCGGCGGCGTCGTCCTTCCGCGGCGAATCTCCGCTTTAAAATGAAACGCGATGCCCCGTGCGTAATTTAAACACATCCAACAGCTTCCACCGGATAAATGCGAGTCGCCGTGTATTTATCTGAAATAAGCTCGCGCGTTCTCCGCTGGTTTTACGAAATAAAAGTTTATAAAAGCTCTCTCTCTCTCTTCGCGCTGGTTGGACGTTCGTAAACGTATAAAAAGGTAAATAGTGTGTTTGTTCTGTCGCTGCCGCGTTTCGAGCTGTTCCAACGAAATTTGAATAATAGTGACTCCATTCTGCACCTGTTTTTACGCGAAGTAAATTCAACGGTATCGGTCATCCCGTCCGTTTGAAACAATTTTCACGACAAAGGACAACACGCTGGCGGCCGCATCGCGTCGACGCCCGTTTTTACGGCGATATTTTTACAGCCTGCGAATATAATAACCTTTCGATACGCTGGCGGCGTATCGCCTCTCACCCCCCTCTCTCTCTCACTCTCTCTCTCTCTGGGTCTCTTTCTCTGCCACTCTCTCTCTCTCTCTCTCTCTCTCTCTCTCTCTCTGTACCTCTCTTTGTCTCTCTCTCTCTCTCTGTAATATTAAAAAAAATATTAATATTATAATATAATTGATATCAATATTATAACATAATATAATTAATATTAATATTATGATATAATTAATATTCACATATTAATATTATAATATAATTAATATTCATATTAATATTATAATATAATCAATATTCATATTAATATTATAATATAATTAATATTCATATTATAATATGAATACTCTCTTTAACTCTCTCTCTCACTCTCTCTCTCTCTCTCTCCCTCTCTTTCTCTGTGTGTGTGTCCCCCTGTTCCTATATAATAATTAATATTATTAATATTAATATTATAGTATAATTGATATCAATATTATAATATAATATAATTAATATTCATATTATAATATGAATACTCTCTTTGACTGTCTCTCTCTCTTTCTCTCTCTCTCTCTCTCTCTCTCTCTCTCTCTCTCTGTCTCCCTGTCTCTATATAATAATTAATATTAATATTATAAAATAACCTTGACGAATTATTATATATATTACATATTATATTATATATCCTATTGCATCCATACTCAATCGAGAATAAAAAGGATTTAACTAAAAATGTTGAATTCGTATATTAAATTCTGCTGCATCAAAATCATCAATTTTCCGATCTAATTTCATCGAATTTCGTCCATCGGTGTACACGTGCAACGCTCGCGTCGAATTACCGTCGAAGTAATAATAAAAGTAGGTTGCGCTAAAAGAAGGCTTTTCCGCGAATCCCGTTCGAATATTTTTCCCGGTGTGTCCTTTCGCAGCGAGCCTCCCCCAAGAAAGTTCAACGAAAACGGCGCAGCTCCTTCTTGCCCGCGCCGGTCGGGTTTTAGTACTATTTTATGAAGCACATTTTCTTCGAGACCTACTAACCCATATCCCTAAAAAGCCAAATGTGACGTTTAGCCCCGTACGGGAGACGGTTCCCGATATATCGATCGGTCCGCTGAAATTTAAAGAATTGATTGGCCGGGATCCCGTCGAAATATCAGTGAAAATCGCGGCACGGTCCAGCGCTGGCTGGAATCAACGGATTTCGGTGACATTTTGCCAAAACATCGCAACCCCTTTTCTATTGATATTTAACGAATTTATATTGCTTCCAGCGAACTCGCGGCGAAACACCGCTTTTTCCGTCCAAGAATCTCGCGAATTTTCATTCGATAACGTGCTCTAGGGACAATTGCTGGACCGAATGCCTAAATTTGCGTAAACTAAATAATCTTTCCATTTCGTAATCCTAGAAGCAGTTGCAAATCAGCTGATCCTGAAAGAACTCGTAAAAATATATCCTCATAAAATTACGTTAAATCGGCGAATAATTATTCGCATTGTTATTCGAATAATCTCACAATCTCTATTCGAATAACTTAATACAATAAAAAATTATTCGAATAAATAGCGAGAATAATCTCACAATTTCTATTCGAATAACTTAATTCGATAAAAAATTATTCGAATAAATAGACAGAATAATCTCACAATCTCTATTCGAATAACTTAATACAATAAAAATGAATTGGTATAAATAGGCAGAATAATTCATCGCGAACAACGAATAATCGTGATTCATTATAATGAATATATATATATTCATTATCAGACAGAATAATCTCACAATCTCTATTCGAATAACTTAATACAATAAGAAATGATTAGAATAAATAGTCATAATAATTCATCGCGAATAATCGTGATTCATTATAATGATATATATATATTCATATAATTATTTCAGGCAAATATTTATTCGAAAGAATTCGAGCAACGCCCAGCTCTGTCGAGTAAGTTTTCGTATTCGTTTGCAGCCATTAAACGAAAATAATTGAGAACGGAGCAGTCGAGCAACGCGCGGAATACGTTACACTGTGTATCGTTAGGAAAGCGGATATTTTTGAGTTTTTCTCTCCGCTGGTCGGCGTTTTTGCGAACGATGCGCGGCCGGTACACGGTCCCCGGAGTGCATCCGATAACGAACTCGCCGATTATACGGGAAACGTCCGGCGCAACGCGTTACGTGTCTAATGAATATGCAGGGGAAAAATAGATGAAACGAGTAAGTTTGCCCGGGCCGGTTAACTCGGACGTTATGAATCGAATGGCCCGCGTTTTCGATGAGTCGGCCGGCACGGAATTATTTGCGGTAACGCGGCCGAGCTTCGCGCGAAGCTTGAGGATCCTCGGGAAACGAACGAGCAACACGAACGGCCGCGATTAAACGGTCCTGACAAAAAGCCGGGAATACTTGGTGGCTGAAGGTGCCGAAAACCCAGCGAAATTTCCGCGGCGATGCGACAACAATAAAATCGACAATAATGAGGATGGCAAATGAGGAATGAAGGATGGAAAGTGAAAAATGGAATATGAAGAACGAAGCAAGATTGAAACGAAGAATTTAGAATGAAATATGTGGAATTAAAACGGGAGAATGCACAATGGAGGCTGAAAAATGAAAAATAAAGGATGAGAACAGAAAAAAGTGGGGAATGGAAAATGAAGGCTGATGAATGAAGATTGAAGAATGAATAATGAAGAATGAAAAACGGAGATTGAAACATGAGAAATTAGGAAAGAGAAATGGAAAACGATGAATGAAAGATGGAAAATAAAGGATGAGAAATGGAGGCTGAAGAATGAAAACTGAAAAATGTAATAATAAAGAGTGAAAAGTGAAGGAAATGAAGTGAAAAATGAAGAATGAAAAAGGGAAAATGAAGAATGGAGAATGAAGAATGAAGACTTAGAAATAAGGAATGAAGAACGGAAAATAGAAAATGAATGGAAAATGAAAAATCAAGAATGAACACTGAAAAATGAAAAATCAGGAATGAACACTGAAAAATGAAAAATCAGGAATGAACACTGAAAAATGAAAAATCAAGAATGAACACTGAAAAATGAAAAATCAGGAATGAACACTGAAAAATGAAAAATCAGGAATGAACACTGAAAAATGAAAAATCAAGGATAAACACTGTAAAACGAAAAATCAAGAATGAACACTGAAAAATGAAAAATCAATAAATAATAAACACTGAAAAATGAAAAGTCAGGAATGAACACTGAAAAATGAAAAGTCAGGAATGAACACTGAAAAATGAAAAATCAAGAATGAACACTGAAAAACGAAAAACCAAGAATGAACACTGAAAAACGAAAAACCAAGAATGAACACTGAAAATCGAAAAACCAAATAATGAATACCGAATAATGAAAAATGGAGACCGAAGACGAAAGAACGAACAATGAAGAATGAAAACTGGAAAAGATTTGATCTTTCAACGGAATAACGCGGCTCACTGAATTCATATAATTAGAAACTCTGGTATCAGTGCCAGAGAATCTATCAAATCGACGGAGTAGAGTACAAAGAACAATGGAACATTCGCAGTGTATTTAACCGCAGACTCTTTGCCCATTAAGACGCGAGCGTATAAAAAAAGAAAGCCTATAAGTACCGCGATAAAATCGTGAAATTATGCAAAGCCGTAACACTGACCTCGGTGTCGTTCCACCACATGTGCAGCCGGTAGTTCCTGAGCACGGAGGGGTCCTCGTTGATGTGATCGACGGCGAGTTTCACCGACGGCATCACTCCGCGTCCGACGTGGCTCTCGGGCACATGGCTGCCATAGGGGAAGAAGCCGGCGATATAAACGTCTCGTCTCTTGACGCCGCCCAGGTTGATCGGTTTCTGGCCGGCGCAGGTGTGGATTGCGTGCATGCAGAGGAGGATGCCGCACAGGTAAGCCGCGGCCGAGGCCAGCCGGCGTCCCCTCGAATAGTCGCTGGCCATCGTCGTCTCGGAGCCGTGTGTCCTTTCGAGCCCTCTTCCCCTCGGTCCGTTCCAATTGGCTCTGTCGCCCGACACCGGACACTGAACACCGATTGCTCGCGCTGATCCTGTCTCGGCCCTTCGTACTATCTCATCGCGGCCGCCACCGGCTCGAGGTTTAATTGACTGTGTCGGATCGGCAGACTATGCGGCGCCGAGCATTCTCCGCCGGCCCGCTCCGTTCCCAGAACCCATCTTCTTTCGACGAATTTGATTAATTACCGGAGACCCTTCAGCGACGGGAAATGCATTTGACGGCGGTGCGGGATGGGCGATCTTCGGGGATCACCTGAACCTTCGCGAAGCGTAATGGACCACGTTCCCGCTGTCTCTACTCCATCCAGATCCGATTCTCATGGCGCGCGACACTCCGACGGCGATCTTTTATCAGCCGGATCGACGATCTTCGGATCTGAAACAGAATTATCGAGGCGATTAGCGTGAGACGATTAGCGAGAGTCGCTGCGACGATCGTTGCGACGACGAGTCTGTGCCTGCATGGAAGAACACGAAGTGTTCTCGGTTCAAAGATATTGTTGCTTAAAGTTCTTGAAAAATAATTGACACTCTATTTGGATTTCTGAACAATGGGTTTAATAACTCAATATTCAAAGAAGTGTGGATGAAAACGATGTTTAAGGCGAATTTAGATTTTACACTTTGGATGTGCATCCTGGATGTACTTTGCATTTTGGATGCGCATCCATTGAAGGTGAATTCAGTCTTTGCCATCTGGATGCACATCGAAAGTTCAAAGTTTAAATTCGCTTTTAATATATGGACATCCAAAGTGTAAAGTCTAATTTCGCCTTAACAGATGTAAATCCAAATTGCAAAGTCTATATTCCCCTTGACAGATGCACATCCGGGATGCAGATCCAAAATACAAAGCCAATATTGGTCTTAACAGAGATGCACATCCGGGATGCATGTCCAAAGTTCAAAGTCTAAATTAGTCTCAACAGATGCACATCCAAAATGCAAAGTTCATATTCGCCTCAACAGATGCACATCCAGGATGCATATCCGGGATGCAAATCCAAATTGCAAAGTCAAGATTCACTTTTAATAGAAATCCAAAGTGCAAAGTTTAACTTCGTCTTAACTGATACACATCCAAATTGCAAAATCTATATTCGCCTCAACAGATGCACATCCAGGATGCAAATCCAAATTGCAAAGTCAAAATTCACTTCTAATAGAAGCAAATCCAAAGTGCAAAGTCTAACTTTGTCTTAACAGACGCACATCCAAAATGCAAAGTCCATATTCGCCTCAGCAGATGAACATCCAAAATGCAAAGTCCATATTCGCCTCAGCAGATGCAGGATGCACATCCAAAGTGCAAAGTCTAACTCCGTCATTCCAGATGCACACGCAAATTGCAAAGTCTAACTTCGCCTTTCCAGACGCAGATCCAGGAATCCCATCCAAACTGCACAACTAAACTTCACTTTAACATGATTCATCCACCCGCCGTCGAAAACAGCGTGTCCCATCGGGAGTACAGGAACGTCGTTCGCGTTTCGGTCGCGTTACGTTCATTATTTTCGCCGTTACGGGTCTCTGCGAGCTTATTAGAAGAACGATGCCGGAAGACTTCTCCCCGGTCGCAGGGTTAAACGGTCGCAACGAGGTTTTTTCATTAGCGGTAAGTGGTGTTCGATGCGACGTGGCGCTGCGAACGTCTCCGTCCGGCCATTTATCGAGTAATACTACCGATTACGAGCGAGCCTCGCGTCTCTTTCGCCGTGGCAACCATGGGCCGGAGGTTCGCCGGACGCGAAGGATCCCGTTCCACGGTTTTAAACGAGCATGACGACTCGCTTCGCGCTTTTGTCCGCGTCCCCGCGAGTTTCTTTTTTATTCTTCCCTGTAACCCGTTCGCCATTATGCGCTCGCTTTCTCGATGGGAATGGGATGGCCGCGATGCAATCAACGCTGGAACGGAGACGGCAATAATCGTCGGACAATCGGCGATCGAGCATAGTTAGCGCTGTTAATACGCAATAACCAAGTTGTCTCTCTCTCTCTCTCTCTCTTTCTCTCTCGATGCAGAGAGTCCCGCGTCCCGATGGAAGACGGCCGGGATGACTCGAGTGCGGAGCAGATAGGAGAGGACGGGAACAGATAGAGGAGTTTCGAGATCAGTTTGCGAGAAGCTCGTGCTTGACCGGAACACTCGAGTCGATGAACTTCGGATGATCGTAAGGGTAAGTGTCCGGAACCTCTAAACGTTAAGCACCCAATTACAATGGTGCGCTAGCTGTAACGTCCCGACACGACCCGCTCCACGAGACGCTTGTCAAGAATGATAAGACGGCCTCGTCCCGCAACCCTAACGCGATAGGACCGTGCCGCTTATGGAGCCGCGCGATACCGTACGACGGACGCACATCGTCGAATTTCTGCGACGATGGAAGATCGGCCGACGCGAGTCGACGGACGTTCATTGTTATTATCATTGCAGGGATTATTTTCTGAAATCCTGCGAGTCACCGTGGTAAAATGAACGACGCGCGATTTAGGTGGCGATGACAGTGACAGTTTATTCACTGAAACGACAAACCTTTACAATGTGCAAATAAAAATAAGATATAAAATAAAGTAAGTATATAAGTAAAATAATAAAATAAAATCATAAAATAAAATAAGACAGTGAAATAATAAAATAATAAAATAAAATAAAATGAGAAAGTGAAANCAGAGAGTCCCGCGTCCCGATGGAAGACGGCCGGGATGACTCGAGTGCGGAGCAGATAGGAGAGGACGGGAACAGATAGAGGAGTTTCGAGATCAGTTTGCGAGAAGCTCGTGCTTGACCGGAACACTCGAGTCGATGAACTTCGGATGATCGTAAGGGTAAGTGTCCGGAACCTCTAAACGTTAAGCACCCAATTACAATGGTGCGCTAGCTGTAACGTCCCGACACGACCCGCTCCACGAGACGCTTGTCAAGAATGATAAGACGGCCTCGTCCCGCAACCCTAACGCGATAGGACCGTGCCGCTTATGGAGCCGCGCGATACCGTACGACGGACGCACATCGTCGAATTTCTGCGACGATGGAAGATCGGCCGACGCGAGTCGACGGACGTTCATTGTTATTATCATTGCAGGGATTATTTTCTGAAATCCTGCGAGTCACCGTGGTAAAATGAACGACGCGCGATTTAGGTGGCGATGACAGTGACAGTTTATTCACTGAAACGACAAACCTTTACAATGTGCAAATAAAAATAAGATATAAAATAAAGTAAGTATATAAGTAAAATAATAAAATAAAATCATAAAATAAAATAAGACAGTGAAATAATAAAATAATAAAATAAAATAAAATGAGAAAGTGAAATAATAAAATAAAATAAAATGAGAAAGTGAAATAATAAAATAAAATAATAAAATAAAATAAGACAGTGAAATAATAAAATAAAATAATAACATAAAATGAGAAAGTGAAATAATAAGATAAAATAAGAAAGTGAAATAATAAAAGAAAATCAATAAACGAAACAATAACATAAATAAATGAAATAGTAGAAGAAAATAAATAAATGAAATAATAAAAGAAAATAAATAGATAAAGTAATAAAAGAAAATAAATAAACATAAATGTCAAAATCATTTTGACGTTATCAAATTTGTTCGTATTTCAGAAACTGTTTACAGTGTAAATATTTAAATATTGTACGATCCAATAGTTTCAATTTCATCCGCATTAAAATACAGTAAATCGTACGGAATGGAAATATGGTAGATCGATAGAAACTTTTTGGATTCAGAGTTAAAGTAACATAGAGTGCAAAGGGTTAACAGAGGCGAACGTCGGAAAGCACATTATCGAATTATATTTGTTTAGCATATTTGGCAACGTTCGAACCACTCTCGAGTCTTCGGAAACTGTTCACCTGATTCCCCCGTTCCCTGTCAGCCGCATTGAATTTATAATATCGACGAAAGAGTCACGATTTCCTAACAGCATAAAAATCAAAGTATCTCGTGAACTAACGATTTCCTAACATAAACAGGTCAAAATACTTTTTCACGAAGAATATTAAGACGCGTCAACTCACGTAATAAAAAACATATCTTTCCATTTAAAAAAGCGTTAATCACCTTCACACCTCCTCTACGCGTCCACCAACCAGAAAACTAGCATCATCAAAAATCTTCCGCTCTCGAAACCATATTCGACTTCCTCCGAAACGTTTCACGCCACGCGTGATAACAACCACGTAAATCTAGACGGCAATACGCGGCGAGCCACCCTGTACACGTTCCCTTTCTGTCATTGTAAAAAACGCGTGTTCACCCGTCGGTATAATCAACGTAATTCGCATTAAAAAACAAATTGAATCTCGCGGACCACTCGCGGATTTCACGCCGGGCTCTCTCTCGAGAGACAGAGAGGATGCTCTCGGCCCAGGACGGGCGCAAACGTCGCACGGTCCACGCCGTCCGGCACGGGCCGTCGATTTTTTCCCGTGAAAAATCGTCCTGGTAAGCGGGTCGACGTTGCTCCGCCGAGAGACAGTGCCAGAAGTTCGCAGGCACTTCGTCGACGAGCGTCGGACCTCGAGTTTCCCGGGTACTTTCGGCTGGCTCCGATACTCCGCGTTCGCGGCAAGTAATTAATCTTCGTTGCCGCGGCGGGACACGTCAAAGGGGCGCATCAGCAAATTATGAATTATTTTCGCGGCGTACGGTTCGTCGACTCCTAAAAGCGGTCGGACCGCGGCAGCCGGCGTGTGGCAACTTCGAAACACGCGGAAGGAAGCTTCCGCTCCGAAAGGATCGATGGAGAGTAATTTCGCGGGGTTACGTCGCTGTCGCGTTTTATTTCCCGCGTATTTCGAGTTCACGATGGAACTGGGAACTGAAACGAGGATTCTGGATTCGCCGATTCGCGATCGTTCGCATAGATCTTGACGGATCATCGCTTAAGTGTCATCGATCGAACTTTCCATCGCGATCAAACGCGAGAACATCGCGACAGACCTAAAAAAAGAGCCTTCGTGATGGAACTAGGACCTGGAACGAGGATTTGTGGACTCTTTGCTTCGCGATCGCTGAGTTGAACTGTTTGAAACCATCGCGAATATAAGGACTTCGCGACGGACCTAAGTGAAGAGCCTTCGTGACAGAACAAGGACCTGGAACGAGGATTTCGGACTCTTTGCTTCGCAGTCGTTGAATTGAACTCTTTGCAACCACCATGATCACGAGAACATCGCGACAGACCTAAAAGAAGAGCCTTCACGACAGAACTAGGACCTGGAACGAGGATTCTGGACTCTTTGCTTCGCAATCGTCGAGTCGAACCGTTTGCTACCATCGCGATCAAACGCGAGGACATCGCGACAGACCTAAAAGAAGAGCCTTTATGACAGAACTAGGACCTGGAACGAGGAT